ACTCACCCCACAAATATAGACAAGGGTGCCATGACTGAAGACAAAGGAAGGCACATGTCGTCAGCAAGACCAATTAAAGGCATACATAGGATCATTTGCCTTCCATGCATTTTGTTCGTTTCCAATAAAACACCACTCAGAATTCAAAGAAGAATGTTCAAAACCTAGCCTGATGAAGTTTGAGTGATCGTTGGAAGTCACCTACATACTTCAGGAATAATCTCACGTGATGTTTAGTACCAGTATGGTCGACTGGTCGTTACTCCATAAAAGTTTTTTGATATTACTTATGTAGATTACTTTTGGGGATAAATGCAAATGATCCTATATGCCTTTAACATTATTATAGATGTGATAAATTCACCGAAGTTTGGGTGTAATTGTGTTCAGTCTGTAAATACTGCATGTACTCGGTTTCATAAAAAACGCAAATTGCTTGATGCAAATACTCGTTTGCCATATTACATGCATGTAAAATATAAAAAAAGTTATAACTTTTTATGTATATGACATTTGCAGAACAAAATTAACTGAAATATGAATTAAAGAAACAGGGTGTAGTATAATATTTGAAAGAAAATATGACAAAGGTTATGTGACTAACTTTTCAAATACTTCTCCAAATTCTTCACATACGTATTTAAATACTTTGCAGGAACAATAAAAAAATTATGAAGTTCTGTAAAAAATAAAATCAAATAAATCAATTTTGAAGAAGAGATTTTTTGTTTATTTTTTTTTTTTTAGGGTTGGGGTTGGGTTGGAGATAATTTCTACACCCCAACTGTGCAATTCCTGGAGGCAAATACCTAAGTGAAGAAATAAGTAGTGGTAGGTCTAAAAAAATCTATTAATATGAAATTAAATATCTCTTTATTTTGTTTTGCACATGAAATATTAAAGTTGTCAGTATATTACTTGTATAACCAAGAAAGTATATTTTTTATCATATTGTAAGTTGAATGTTTATTTAAAATGGGTGCCAGGATACATTTTTATGGTAATTAAAGGCATGTTGTTATATATGGTAATTACTTGGAAACGGATCTACCAATGTAATGAGGACAACCCTTGCTCAAAGTGACAATAGGAGATGGTACCAAATAACCTCTGAAGTTATTTTGTCTGAAATGGTATTGTTTGGAAGGGAAAAAATGTCACTGAGGGTGGCTTTCAATAAAGGTTGCATGCATAAGTAACAGAATCAAGGTAAAGACCCAAAAAATTCTGCATTTGCGTCCTTTGTTTTCTCAAAATGTAGAGTAGCCACGAACTTGGCTCAAATATCCACAGATTAGTCGACTACATTCATCATCATCATCATCATCATCATCATCATCATCATCCTTCGGCTGCAGAGGAGGCGACTACAAGCTTCTTCCATTTACTGCGATCTTGAGCAAGTGTTGCGATTTGGTCCGGTCGCAGTATGCCTCCACTATCTCCAAGCAGGCTTTGAACATACGTTAGTCCCATCCATAGGGTGGTGTATAAAGGACATATTATTTCACAGGGTCATCGTCTGGCATGCAGAGTATGTGCCCAAGGAACTTGAGCTGCCGACTACATTACCAATAAAAAAAAATCCCATTTTTTTGTCTTCAGTTCTCTATGATTAAAAAAGGAAATAAATCGGCATCATTTTCCCGCTCTCCCCCATCCCCCTCCCTCCCCTTCCCAAATCCGCCAGTGGGTAGTCCATACATGTATTTCCTTAGATGACACCGCCCTATAGATACCATACGTCTTAGAACGAAGACTAAGGCCGCATCCAAATATCTTTGTCTAACCATGGAGGACGAAAAGTGTGGCAGACACGGAAATGCAGATTGAACGTTTTCAAACGTTCCATTTTAATCAGCTTTTCTGCTACCAGACAAGCAGATTGGACGTTTAAGAATAAGTCTACATTATTTTCTGCTTGTCTGCTATTCTGATATATGAAAAGCAGATTTCGCTCCTGTTGCTGGCGAGCGTTCTCGAGGTTCCAATATACATGTAGATTTTACTCAGGTGGTCGAAAAAAATGTGGACATCACCGTTCCCTTCCTTTCATGATCCAAGGCAGCAGAACCGATCCAACGTTTTGGCAGCAACTGATTTCCAACCGTTTTTCGGCCACCAGAAAAGTAGATTTGATGCTACCCGAAAAAAAGGGTCATTTATTGCCGAAACTTCGCCTTTAATTAGGCCTACTAAGTATAGGCCTTCACAGGCACGTTCTCTGACCTGAGACTTGGGGTCGGGGAGGGTTTTGTCAAACCCCAAAGTAAAGTGTTTGCATATTGTGAACACATTATCATGAAGTGCTTATATTAGGCAGTTTTATCCCCCTGGCTGTAAGCCGGAGGGGGATATTGCGATAGCGTATTCCTTGGTGTGTAAGGGTTGGTAGGCATTACATTCACTGTGTGTGGACTTCCGAACAAAAGAACCAGGTAGCGGCGACGTTGTGTGGACTTGGGCAAGTCCACACAGTGTTTTTCCCCATTTCCGGAAAACAGGTTTTTGGGTTAGGTTTATCTGTGGCAGAATGAAGAGAAACACTATAGGGAACCACAGGAAAAAAATTGAGTTTTCACAGTTTATGTAAAGTTATTTTTTGTACCGAGTTTTCTCAACTACACGAAAACAAAGGAATGTCCACATAGCGTATGTAAAACAAACGTGTGTGCATGTTTTATGGCACACTGCGGTATTTTCGTATAGGCCCCCGAATTTTTCGTAGGCCCTAGGCTCAGTGCTAATTACTGTGCCTATTGTATAATCCGGGCCTGTTTTTTCCACTCAAACTTAATATAGGTTTTTCCGGCAAATTTCCTAATCATTTTCATGAGACCTATCATTCATTCCATTTCGCGTGATTTTTACACGTGATCAAACTTTCTTTTTCATTTTTGGGGCATTCAATTCAATTTTTAGGCAGCCAAGATTTTGCTCTGAATGTTCGTTTTCGTTTTGGGGCATTCTAGTTCGTTTTGGTGCATTTGAGACTTAATTTGTAGCCGATTCTTAAATTGAAGTCTTTGCAACCTTTTGACGGTTGACGTATTCAAATTAGCGAACGTTGGTGCGCTCAACGTAAGTGCTTTTCGTTTCTTAAGTTCGTTTATGGGCAATCACTTTCATCGTTTGGTCATTCAAATTAATAAGATTGGTAAACGGTCGAGTTGGTTCGAGTCGAGTTGGCAAACGCCCGGTCGAGTTGACTGTAATCCTTTTTAATTGATATGTTTTCCTATTTTCCTCTGAGGTTCGTTTTCCCGGCCCAAAAAATCTTGGTGACTGTAAATTTCCAGTGTCACAAATTAACTGACATGAGGGATACAAGATGTAACGAAATAACGAAATGAAAAGGGCTAAGATAGCCCAATTTCTTTTTCACTGTTGATCTGTTCTACGTGTTTAAACGTTTGAGCAAGGGGCACATCTTGACGTTGACGATTTCTTGACGTGAAAAGACATCGGGACATGTATGTTTGGCAATAGTTGTACCATCAGGAAGTCAGGAACGCTCTTTGGTAATTTCTGACATGTTTTCTGGCCTATGTTCTGACCGAACACTTATTTAAAGGCCCACGCAAAGTAATTTTTTCAATGCAAACCTTGAAAATACATCTTTGTGTCACATGTAACCTTATTTTCAAGTTTTATTTTTCCATTTCAGTTGGTGCCTTCTCCGTTGTCATGCTAATGCAAATTTCCATATTTATGAGCATATTTATAAGCAAAACTTTGATGTCATTCCGGGCAGATTAAATGCCTATTTCCGCACAAAAAGTTGCTAGCATTTTGGATATTTTGCTGTCGTACACTTTTGCTTTTCTCTCAGTCAGTACATGGCAGTAAGCCATTAATGAGCAACCTTTTCTCACAATTGTTTCAATTAGGAAATTGTGGGTGAATAATTTGAAAGAAAACCCCTAAACTGAACAGTGTCTGAAATGACATCACAGCAACAGCACGCTCAGTAGTCCGGAAAAGCATGGATATCTTAAATGTTAAAAGAAGTGCACTTTGCAATAAGATTAACCAAAAAAAAAAAGATGTAAAATGTGTAGTTTTCATACATTTCAGAATTCTGTAGTAGAAAGTTGCACAAAATGTATTCCTGAGAAAAATTCATTGCACGGACCCTTTAATTAAGAAAGAGAGGTTTGCATTTACGAATTGAATACATTAGATATGATTGACGCCCAGATATTTCAGAATTTTACATGCAGGAAGTCTTAAAATAATGATGCTTGACAAATGTGAAATATGTTTGCCCATTAATGAAAAGGAATGCCCGATCAACCCCTTACGACTGGTTCAGACGAAATTGAATGAACAACGCGATACGAAGTTGGTAACATAGCTATTTTACCTAATTCGGGGTGCTCCGGAAATGATGGTTACCAAGCTGGATTTTTAGTAGAAATATGCCTAATTTGCATAATCTTTAATACCTATCGACTGTGTAATATATTGTTCCCCATATTTTGGTATGCTCTTATTATTATTTTTTGGAAAAGTTTATTTGGTGATTATACTTACACTTCCTTACTTCAATAGCATTTTCTAAGAAAGTGACTGAATAATTATGAGGCAAATTAGCCTGGCATCATGATTTCCACTAAAAATCCAGCTTGGTGGCCATCATTTTCGGATTTAGCACCCAAAAATTGGGTAAAATTGCTATGTTACCAACTTCTACTCGAAAATGCCTCTTTATGTAACATTTTTTGAAATATCGCCTAAGACTATTGTGAACCCACGCCCTGCACTATTCCCCGCCTGCGAGAGCTAGAGCTAGAGCTAGCTGCTGCAGCCAATGATCGAATTGTTGTGTAGAAATAGCTATCAATAACTAAACGTCCGTGGATTTTTTGTTTTGGATGTCCCATTCAAAAGTGAATAATTTTTTTATTGCTAGGAAAAGTATTGAAACAAATAATAACATGTTTTTCGAGTTCAAACCCGAGGCTGACAACAATGTTTATGTACATACACAGTCAGTAAGCGCAGCGCGCGCGGTGCACACAGGGCGCCACCACTTGATCATTCATATCGTCAAAGTAGGTCAACACCGGCGAAGTATTGTGAGTTTTCAATTCAGAGTTTGTTTTTAACGCACTTAATTACATTGAAATGTTTGATTAACAAGGAGTTCTCAGGTCTGTAGAAACAAATGGATATTCTAGTCTGACATGTCATGCCTGTCACGCGATTTTCAACCATAAAACTAAAATTTACTAGTTAAAAGGCCCTTTTTTTGGCGGGGGGGGGGGGGGGGGCGGGGGCGGGGGAGGGGCTGGTGCGGTGGTAGCCCCATAAATGTGGCCTATTTACTGGACTGCCTCCAAACATAGGCCACACATCCACATGTACAAAAATCGTGTCGACGGAGCCAAATTTTGATTTTCACATTTAGGCTTAGTTTGTAGGTTTTTTTTGCTTTAGAAGCATACTCACCCTCTTTATAGGCTAATCAGAAAGTGCTGCCTTTTTCAGATGTATATTTTTCGTGAAATTTCCAGATTCATTTTTACACGTTTGCGTATCAAAATTTCAACATGAAATTTCACAAAAATTAGACATCTGAAAAAGGCAGCACTTTCTGATTAGCCTGTAAAGAGGGTGAGTATGCTTCTAAAGCAAAAAAACCCTACAAACTAAGCCTAAATGTGAAAATCAAAATTTGGCTCCGTCGACACGATTTTTGTACATGTGGATGTGTGGCCTATGTTTGGAGGCAGTCCAGTAAATAGGCCACATTTATGGGGCTAGTGCGGTGGTGTTCTGAGCAGCTGGGGTGAGGTGGATTCCGCTCCCTTCTGATCTCGGAAATGCAGTGACAGATTTTCATGAATTTTGATACATTAGTAGTGGAATATGGGTAATCCTTACCTTTAGGACCCCTTTCCTATATAAGGTTAAACACTCACCAAAACAGCTGACTAAATGACACTCAAAAGTGACATTCTGATATTTCTTGGCACATTTGAACATTTGGCAATGACACCTCTTGAATATCAGCAGGTTTAATTTTGTAGAAAGAGGGCAGGGCTTTGATTTATGAGGGGTAAAAGACGGCAATGACAAACAGAAAATATATTAAAAAAGCAAGATGGCGAACTGCCAAAAATGTAGGAAAGTCACATTTTCTTTGAAAGTGCTTTCAAAATTACAACTAACATGAGTTTATCTGAAGTAAAAAGACTGCTCTAGCCTGCAAAAGTCACTTTGGTACTGGACAGTCATCTGCAAAAGTCAGTTTTGAACAGAACTCGTACAAAATAGAGGTGTCCTAAAAGTAAGGATTACCGGAATATGCCTATCTAGTACTAGCTAGCCCTAGTCTATGGCCCGCGCACCACTGAGTAGACTCTACATGCTGGGCCACACGGATATTGCTTCCCAAAGTTGAGGATTTGAAAATAATTTTTTTTTATTGCAATCATTCCACTCAGAAGGTTGGTTCACTTACCCGTACCTCTCAATATTCCCCCCAAAATTAGGACTTCCCCGTGCTTCCTTCTGGTGAAATTCGTCTCTTAAAAAAAAAAAAATTGTCAACTCGAAGTGGAAGGTCATGACAGGCAGCTCGCCCAGTATAAGTAGTCTAATTTTCTGACCAAAATATTTCCCTTTCTTTGACGTATATATACATGAAGGGCATTGCACCCAGGATATCATATCCGGAAAAAAACATCGCATAGGCCTACGCCATTAGAGCAGCCAGCCAATCACAGTGCTGCGCACCTCGATTCAGCATAAATAATCAAGATGCGCGCACTGTGATTGGCTAGTTGTTCTGATCCGGCGTGCAATTTTTTTTTTTCAGATATGATATGACCATAACCAGGCGCAGTGCCCTTCACGTGTCTACATTAAATAAAAGACAGGGAAATATTTTGGTCGGAGAACCAGACTTCTACTCGGCGAACTGCCTGTCATGAACTTTCACTTCGGTTGACAAATTAATATTTTAAAAGAAACGAATTTCACCAGAAGGAAGCACGGGGAAGTCCTAATTTGGGGGGAATATTGAGAGGTTCGGGTAAGTGAACCCACCTTCAGAGTATGAGTTGGAATGATTGCAAAAAAAATTGTGTTTTTTTTATTTCAAATCCTCAACTTTGGGAAGCAATATCCGTATGGCCCAACATGTAGAGTCTACTCAGTGTGGGCCATAGACTACAATGTAGGGCTAGTACTAACTTGAGTAACATCCGGCTGACATGTGAGTTCCTGATGAGCATATCAGCTGGATGTTACTCAAGCTACCTATATCTACATAGCTTGAGTAACTCCAGCTGAAATGCTCATTGGGAATTCACACGTAACGCTGGAGACATAACTACGGCGTGAGAGTGTGGTCTTAAGAGACCCTTCCAGAATGATCTCCCAAAAATTGTCCTTTTTCACCTCTATTATCGCACCCCAGATTCCATTTACATTCAGCAGTCATTCACGAAGCTAATGATCGACTTAAATGAAACAGAACAAAAAACCCTAAAATGTGAAAAATTTTGATGATTTCGGCGGCTTTTGTTCCAACGGCTGTCGTCCATCTTATTTGGTTAATTATGCAAATGAAATGCATCACGGGATGATTATCGAAAAAAAATTGCGCGATGTATGCGGGTACCATACTGCTTTCAGGCGCCGCTAGTGGGCTCAATTTTCGTCTGGTGTGTTGTTGTGGAAAGCAGTCTCGGAGAGCAAGACAACGACTGCTTTCCATATTCCCCATATTGAGTCATGTTTCCAGGTCCACACATGTACACTCGCTTCATTTATTGTTTTACTGGACCAACTCACGTGCGATATGTTATTTGGAAATAACAGCATAAACCAAAGGAGTGGAGAAGAATGGTTTATTTGCCGACTTTATATAAATTCTTAGTTGACACATAACATTATTTGAAAGGGAACCCTACCCCTCATCTGCCTGATTTGTGCCTAATTTCAGGACACCACATTCTTTTAATTAAAATTCAATTTCAGGTGCTTTTCACAAGGGGTCAGTAGCAAGCGTTATTAAGGTAATAGTGGTATTCACTGAGTCAATATGAAGCTTGTTGACGAAGAGGTTTGGCAAATCTGCATGGGAAGAGTCACGACACATTATAGTTTGCCATGTTAGGGAACTCCACAATACCAGTTTTTTATGTAATACAATGTACAATGGATGACATTTTATCTCAGGTGAAGCAATAACTGAACTGTGGTTGTATACTGTTGTTATTTACAGAGAACATGTTGTCTGTAGCACGAAGGTCTCACTCGAAATGGGCAAGCATTCTTCGAGTGACTGCCAGCTCTTGTATGTTGGCACCGGAGGGCGTCCCACGGCGTCAGCTGGCTGAGACAGGACAGTGCCTCGTCTACAATCAGCCCCTTTCTGGGACTGACGTTCCTCGATCAGGGGGTATAGCAACCATGTTTAGACTTCCGTATCAGAAGACTGCTGAAGGTTAGCCTAATAATAACATAAACCATTTAAAATATGTTTGCACTCGATTTTTTTTTTTTTTTTGGGGGGGGGGGGTTAACCATGGGTTAAAGTTGCTTAACCATTGAAATAAGTCGGCTTTCAACAGTTTTTTGCCCAAAGTTGTCTTGAAATGAAAAAAAAAGGCTGATGTAGTTGCTACATTTGTGTACCTTTACTTGTATACATGGTATACGCATACCAAAACAGGGTGTCCAAAATTGCCTACAGGGTGTCCAAAAGACGCCCATCCAGACACAATTCTGACAAAGGCAATGGTCAGTTTAATTGAGCTGCTGAACAAAATCGAAATAGTCCAACTGAAGTTAGCATGTTCACTGTGTACTTCTATACAGTCTCAAATGAAACAGACTACAGCTGTACAACAAAAATCGTGAACTCACATGAGGCAACAGTTGCAGTCCAGTCAGTACAAGTCATCACAACTCATCACAAGTTGTCACATGCCATCACAAGTCATTACAAGTCATCACAAGTCACCACAAGTCACCACAAGTCACCACAAGTCATCACAAATCACCACAAGTACTACAAGTCATCACAAGTCATCACAAGTCATCACAAGTCATCACAAGTCACCACAAGTCACCACAAGTCACCACAAGTCACCACAAGTCATCACAAATCACCACAAGTACTACAAGTCACCACAAGTCATCACAAGTCATCCCAAGTCACCACAAGTCATCACAAGTCACCACAAGTACTACAAGTCATCACAAGTCATCACAAGTCACCACAAATCACCACAAGTCATCACAAATCACCACAAGTACTACAAGTCATCATAAGTCATCACAAGTCATCACAAGTCATCACAAATCACCACAAGTCACCACAAGTCACCACAAGTCACCACAAGTCACCACAAGTCATCAAAAATCACCAAAAGTACTACAAGTCATCACAAGTCACCACAAGTCACCACAAGTCACCACAAGTCACCACAAGTCATCACAAATCACCACAAGTACTACAAGTCATTAAGTCATCACAAGTCATCACAAGTCACCACAAGTCACCACAAGTCATCACAAGTCACCACAAGTACTACAAGTCACCACAAGTCACCACAAGTCATCCCAAGTCGCCACAAGTCATCACAAGTCACCACAAGTACTACAAGTCATCACAAGTCATCACAAGTCATCACAAGTCACCACAAGTCACCACAAGTCACCACAAGTCACCACAAGTCATCACAAATCACCACAAGTCACCACAAGTCATCACAAGTCACCACAAGTCATCACAACTCATCACAAGTCATCACAAGTCACCACAAGTCATCACAACTCATCACAAGTCACCACAAGTCACCACAAGTCACCACAAGTCATCAAAAATCACCAAAAGTACTACAAGTCATCACAAGTCACCACAAGTCACCACAAGTCATCAAAAATCACCACAAGTACTACAAGTCATTAAGTCATCACAAGTCATCACAAGTCACCACAAGTCACCACAAGTCATCACAAGTCACCACAAGTACTACAAGTCACCACAAGTCACCACAAGTCATCCCAAGTCGCCACAAGTCATCACAAGTCACCACAAGTACTACAAGTCATCACAAGTCATCACAAGTCATCACAAGTCACCACAAGTCACCACAAGTCACCACAAGTCATCACAAATCACCACAAGTACTACAAGTCACCACAAGTCACCACAAGTCATCCCAAGTCACCACAAGTCACCACAAGTCACCACAAGTCACCACAAGTCATCACAAGTCATCACAAGTCGCCACAAGTCATCAAATAAAGTCATCAAAAGTCATCAAAAGTCACCCAGTCTTGAGTCAGTTACAAGCTATTCAAATGAACTGTGACAAAGGCATTCATGGCTAGTAATAAATATTCATAAATTTATACCTTAGACAGTTTACCCATTCCTATTGGTCGAGAGTTCGTCATGTGGCCGGTCTTAAGCGGTTAATAAAACACCGGCTGGCTGGTCTTAAACACCAGTCAGTCAGCATTTCATAGTCCCAATTTCAAACTACACCGACACAGCTGTGTTCTGTACCACATCAGGCAGTATGTGCCATGCGCGCAATCCGCGCACCAAACTCCATATAAGGAGTTGTTTACGACTAGTCGCGAGAGGCACATACCATAACATAGCTAGAAGGGTGTTTAATAAAACATGAAGTAAAATTGTTGAACAAAATCGTTGGAAATTTATATTGTTTGACTTGACCCAAAAGGTATTTATAAATTGGAATAAACACATGCTTGGCCGGTATTAAACAAGTCCGTTTAAGACCGGCTAGGGGCCTGGTCGCCTATAATATCCCTCGCCGCGTCCATCCCCCAGCCGGTCTTGAACAGACTTGTTTAAAACCGGCCAAGCACACATTTATTCCCTTGATAATTTGTGGGGCTAATTATTCTTCCATTTGAGAAGATGAAGGACGTAGCTACAGCATAGTCGAGCCGGAGGCATGTAAAGATGCCTAGTTTTCATTCCCTGTTAGGCCAAACAAATTAAATAATCGGTCTCTGGTCAGACTGAAGTTCCGGAATTGATGCGGCGACGCGGGTTTTTTTTTTTTTTTGGTGGCTTTTTTTTTTTAAAGCTTGAATTGCACAGACAAGGTGGGTACTATTTTGCTTTTTTTGTGTCCTCATTATACATTGGTGTCCTCCATAATTTGCCTTGGTGCCCTTTATCATTTGCCTTGGTGCAATTTCCCCATTCCTTGGTGCTCCTTGGTACAAAAATTTGAGGAGGTGCGGCAATAGAGGGCGCTGTTGTAACTTCCGTGTTAATTTGGAAAAAAAAAAAGTTGACGCGCATGATTAAAATCGACGCGCGCGCTGATCAGAGACCAAGTATTTTTTTTTTTGGCCTTACTTACTTGTGACTCTTCTTGTGATCAACTTTTGATTTGACATGCTGACGTTTGCCAAAAAAACAAATTCTGCTTCCGGTTTCCTTACCGGTACCTACCCTATTCTGACAGCCCCTACCCTAATTTTGTTTATGGGGAAAAATGAGGGGAAAAAACACCTAAAACCATCAATTACTACCTTTCACCCTTGACTACACGCAGACGCCTCCATATGATCCTGCAAAAAGAATTTGCCAAAAACAAAGTAAAACAATTCCCTACCTACCTACCTACCCTGTTTTTGAATGCCATGTAATCGGAAGCAGAAGTATGTTTTTTTGGAAAAAATGTTGCAACCTGATGCCACTTCAGCGGTTGTGTACAAAGTCTATGGAGAGTCAAGACATTTACAAGTATTTCCCCGGCAACAAAATTGGAATTGTTTCTCAGTCCCAGATTCATGTCTTTTCAATATTTTTGCAATGACTGACCTTCATTGAGATGATATATGAAGAAACAAGTGGCGTCAGGTTGCAACATTTTTTTCCTCTTTTTTTTGGCCTGGGGTCTTAGACTGCATCTGTTGGCAAGCACTGTGAAATCAGATTGTTTAATCCATTGCTATGACGTCACACTATTGTTAAAAGTGTGGATTCGGAACTACGAATCTGTTACGCTGTCACAAAGTGTGGATTCGGAATGAAGAATCTTTAGTAAAGTGTGGATTCGGAATTACGAATCCACACTTTGAACACGTCGGACAATTGTTCTCTATAATGAGCATTAATAGGACCGTCTGCGTGAAAATTTCCTTCCAAAATTACCAATGCATCTTCCCTGTCAGATTCTCCGCCGTCACTGCAAAACCTACTTCGAGTCAGAAAGAAATCATCGTCTGAACTATCAATTTGTCAACGGAAGGAGCCGGGACAAATGTTGCAACCTGACGCCACTTTTTTTCTCCATATATCATCTCAATGAAGGGCATTCATTGCAAAAATGATGATAAGACATGAATCTGGGACTGAGAAATATTTCCAATTTTGTTAGGAAATACTTTTAAAAAAATCTTGACTCTCCATAGACTTTGTACACAATCGCGGAAGTGGCGTCAGGTTGCAACATTTATCCCAAGTCTTTTCATCTCCACTCACTGTTAATGCCAATACTTCTTTTGACGCAATGGTTTAAGTCGAAGAATACACTCGCAAGTGTGGATTCTTAATTTACGAATTCACTCGGCGCTTCGCGCCTCGTGAATTCTTAAATTTCGAATCCACACTTTCTTGTGTATTCTCCTTAACGTAATAGTGAGAACGATGCAGTATACATGACTATATTTTTGCTTTACTGAACGCAGGTCTGGATGCATGTTTTGTGGGTATCCCATTGGATATTGGAACCTCCAACAGATCAGGAACCAGGCTGGGCCCAAGACAGATCAGGACCGAGTCATGCCTAATCAGATCCTGCAACAGCCTAGGTAAGGCCACCATGCAGTCATATTTATACATTTGGAAGAAAAAACAATGGATGTAAACAGAATGCATAGCAGAGGGCAAATTTATGTTTTGGACATGTTTTAACCAACCTTTCACTCTTCCTGTCTGAACCAATTTTCTACATGCATGTGATGGCTCAAATTCTGTATAGTATATAAAGCTAATTTTTGTCCAAGCGGTTTTTATGTGTATTATTTCAGCCTCTGTGTATGTTCTGTCTTCTCACTACAATCATTTGTCAGGCGTGAACATTTCAAAAAGTGTGGTTCAGTTCCTGGCCCCGATGAAAGCAGTCTGCGAGAGGCCAAAAGTGAGAATCTTGATGGCCCAATCTTTTATTTAAAAACACCCCCAAATTAAACTGACATTACAAACTCTTAATTTCTCCCTCAACATATCCAGGTGCAGCACCCTATGAAAGTCTGCAGGTTGCCGACATTGGAGACGTCAGCATTAACCTCTATGACTTGAAGAAAGCTGTGTGCATGATTAAGGAAGCCTATTCCAAGATTCTGTTGACTGGCTGTAAACCCTTGACTCTTGGTGGGGACCACACGCTGTCTTATCCAGTGCTGCAGGCAATTAAGGTGATCACTGTACCCAAGATTTTAGAGAGAAGGGGGGGGGGGGGGGTCGTTTAGACACCCCATATGTTATGCACATAATTTATGATTTGAACTTTAGCAACTTGGACTTCCTGTTTTCTCTAAAGCCCTGTCCGCACTGGACTTTTTTGGGTAAAGCTTACCGAGACTATGGGTACTACTCTTCCCATTTTAAGTCCAGTGCGGACAGCCTAGGATGTTTTCCTCTGGGTTACTTTTCCTGAGTCCAGCTGTTACTTCTACTGGCAAACTGCTGCCCATAGTGGTGCGGCATAGCCCCAATATGCAAAAGGATTGTGCAGTTTGTGATAAAAGCATGTTGGTTCTTCATGCCATGAAGAACATTTTCAGATATGGAGGCATTTCATATCTGACCTCTGGTGACCTTTTAGAGGTCAATGAACTTTACATACTCTATTCATAATTTTTTTCTTCAAAACTTCACTTTCCTATGACCCAAGTCTATGTCATAGGTCTTCATACAATGAAAATAATGATCAGATGCAGGAACAATTCATATCTGATGTCTTGTGACCTTTGAGAGGTCAATGACCTTTGTAAACCTGTTTATACAGCTGTTTGTAAGATTTAATCTTTAAACCCCATCTTTTTCACGATTCATGTCTAAATGAAAGGTGTTCATGCTATAAAGAGAATTTTCAAATATAGGCCATTTCATATTCAACCTCTGGTGACCTTAGGAGAGGTCATGACCTTTGTAAAACCATAGCCTACCTATGGATATTAATAAGATTTACACAATTGTAAATGCCACTTTTCCATGACCCAAGTCTAAAACTTAACTCTTTGTGCCATGAAAAGAATTTCAGATGTGGGGACATCATATTTGACGTAGTGATACCCTTGGAGAGGTCAATGAACTTTGTATGTCTTAGTTGCCGTTATTTATCATATCAATCAAATTGTAATTTTTTCGCGACCCAAGCCTCAATAGTGCACGATATTGCACCTATTAGTTTACGGTCATGTTATGAATTCAGACCCACAAACAATTTTGAGGTGACTTCTGACCTCATTTCTCCTTGTTTTATTGGCAGATGCAATATGATGAGATTGGAATAGAAATCTGTGGGTCTGTTTGAAGCAGCAAAAGTGATCAAAATCTAAAGAAGGGTGCTTAATTAACAACTAACCTGGTGAAGTTTTTACTCAGTGAATGCTGTATATTCTGTGAAAAAAATATTCTAGGATCTCTATTTCAATTCAAAAGTTGCCGAGTCAGGTTTTGAATTGCGCCCGAAATCAGCGTCCGGGACACGATCTCATTCAGCCGATTGCAGCTACGTGATGTCACGCGTTGAACTAACCAATTAGCAATTGCGTGCATGTGCGTCCCTCATGTCAATGCATGTGCGCACCCATTCATGGCTTCGCCCAATTACAAATGAACTACTAACGGCAATTTCCAAAACTGCGACTTTAGACACATCTTTGGAGTTTACCTTCTTTTATTGTTTTCTTCAAAATGACAGCATGCTAGAAAAATAATCTCACAGGGAGTAATATATAGTGCCAATACTATCTTTAGACCAAGCATGTTTTTTCAACAATAATTTTGTCAGTTACTTTTTGGATAGCTGCAAATGATATACTCTACCTATAAGCAGAATCCTCGCATGCATTTCCACCTCTGACCTATCTGACCAGTGAGATTGTATCTCGGATGCTGAATTCAGGCCCAATTCAAAACATGATTCAGCAACTTTTGATTTGAAATCGAGATCCTAGAATGTAGTTTTTCTCAAAATATAAAGCTGAAGGTAAGCTGAAACTTCATCAGGCTAGTTGTTCATCAGCACCCTTCTTTAGATTTTGAGCACGTTTGTTGCTTCAAACAAAATGCACAGATTACAAATGATGTACTGTACCTTTAAGAGTTTTGCGGTAGCACCATGTTTCTCCTGTGGGTGCTGTAGGTGGTTCTAGTTTCCCAAGGACAATAGAGCGACACTGTTCAAAACACGGAGTCATATCAACCAGTTCTTTCCAGAAATGCATACGCAACTCACAATAGAGATGTATTGTGCTACTTCAAAACTACATTAAATTCACTGATTCTCCAACATACACACTCTCAACTGTCTCATTTGCCTTTGGAAGGGGAAGCATGGCAGAGTGGGCCTGGTGCATGTGGATGCCCACGGCGACACATCAGATGAGATGCTTGGAGAGAAAATTGCTCACGGGACACCCTTCCGCCGAGCAATTGAAGAAGATCTGGTCGACCCCAAGAAGATGATCCAGATTGGTTTGAGGGGACCTCAGTATACCCCGGATGACCATGAGTGGCAGAAAAACCAGGTAAACAGTCTTTGTTTTTTTTGGGGGGGGGGGGAGAGGGGTTTCATTTCTCCCTTAGAATTTTTGTGAGGATGTGGCCGAGGCTCAAATTGTGTTTGTTTAATTACAGGGAGGTTGGTTTTACTACACCACTCGAAGCAGTCAATATTTGTTTTATAACTCCTCACCCATACTATAGTCTGCTTCATTTTAAGAGAAAGCTGATTATGTACTTTTATTTTAATATGAAATTAGTTGAAAACTTACTTGAACTTTTCCAAACTGAATGTTTAAGCCCAGCTCTGTAGTTCAATTGGAACAATATGTGCAAAGAGCACACCCATATGCATGTGCACACATACACGTACATACAGGTTGCCATGTTGGTTGCTATGTGTATTGTACCTATTTCAGTCATTTTGTAGTCCTCTCAGCCAATGCACAGTAAGACAGTAAAAATAGCAAATGCCATGTGACTCGCTCTCGGCTAATCAAGATACAGAATCTGTGGGTGAGGTGTTGTAATTGGGCTTTTAAAATGCCACTCTCCGTTTTACAGGGAGTGCGCACTGTCCGTGTTGAAGAGTGCCACCACAAGTCACTCAACCCTCTCATGTCAGAGGTCAGACAGATGATGGGAGACATCCCTGTATACATCAGCTTTGATATTGATGGCATAGATCCAGGTTTTGCTCCAGGAACAGGTTAGTTGAAGGAACATTTTTTAAATTGAATACACAAATACGTGCGTACAAGTGTCTACCTGAAACAGCATCACCAAGTGTGCCATGATGTCCAGCCCTTCAAGGAAAAGTTTCTGTGACCTTTCAGATTGATGTGATATGTGATGAGGTGTTTTGTACTCTCACTGTATCGGGGCAGACAAAAGTCTTCGTTCAGTGTTAGCCAAATATTTAAATGTTTAACATGTTGACTACCGACTACGAATATATCGGTAGTGACAGTCGTACCGGATTTTGCCACTACGTGTATACCCGTAGTAAAGTAAAGGCTTTTGTATTATAAAGGCAAAAAAAAGTCTTCCGTTTCTGGTATGGAGCTTGCCCCAAAAGTTTTGCGGCAACGCGGCTTATTTTTGTTTTCTTCAAATGTCGGCTCATGTTGCAGATGACGCTTCGATCCACTTAAAACTCTCATAAATATCCTTCAGGGTGGAGCTTGAGGTGACCTCAGTAAGGCCATAAGGCTTGAGAATTCTGCACCCACTTACGATCTCAACAGACACGAACATTCTTCAGGAAATTTGGATGATCAAGACAAAAATCAGAGAAAACGTTAACATCAGACCATACACTGACATCGACATCGTGCATGTGCTGCCAAGGCTGGTCGTTAGTCTGCTCCCTTACATATTGCGCTAATTAAAAAGTGTTTACCGGTTCCAGATACACAACCATTGCTTGATCCCTCAGTTTGGCTTCCAGACGCACAATTACAAAATTACAACACCGCCTACAAATGGTGCCTGACTAAATTTAGTGCAAAATGTATGGGAGCCCAGAGAGACCACATAAAGCTTTTTCTCGCTCGTGACCCCATCTTAAAACATGTCAAAACTGTGCAGCAGCAGGATTCCAGTCCAACCAGTGAGTTTGGCGGTTTTGAGACATCATCTATTGAAAAAAAAAAACCTTTATAATTTTGCCGACGTGCACTCTATTGAATGGTTATGTTCAAATTATCAGAAGTTTGTTTGTTATTAAGTGTTGCCGGAGGATTTTGCAGGTTGAGGCAGTGGTCACCCCCCCCCAGGAACCATATTTTTTTTGCAGGATTGAGGTTGTGTGCAAATTTTACATGGAGGCGGTTGGAGGATTTGCAGGACTGATGTTACATCCTAGCAGAAATGCCAAGAGAGTTAGGGTTAAAATATAACAAACAAGTTGGAAATTTGTTGAAAGAAATGAATTGAAGCGCATGGACTGTACATCTTTAAAAGTGTATATGTCATATTTCTGGTACTTAGGAACCCCAGAAGTTGGCGGGCTGACCCCAATACAGGGAATGGAGATCATTCGGGGCTGTCGCGGACTGAACGTCATCGGAGGGGATCTGGTTGAAGTGAGTATCACGGGCCCTGTGCCAGTGTTGTAGTTGAAACCTTCCAGAGATCTTTCAAGGATTCATAATGTCCTAGCAGTTGTTGAAATTTTCAAATTAAAATACCTGTAAGTTTCATAATGAGCTGAAAGGGTGCCATTGTTTGAAGTAGAAATACTGATGTATTATTTTTGTTTTGAGTCAACATGGAAATTCAGGTGAAGATTTTTTGGTGGAGTTTGCTGGTGCTTGCCCGTTTCAAAACCGATTTTCCCATAAAAGACATTTGAGAAATGTTCTTGAGGGTACCAGTTGCACTTTTGTCTGATTAAGCTGAACTCATATTTAATTCTTGGCCGGTAGGTGTCGCCACCCTACGACCCGTTTGGCACCACGGCTCTGCTGGGTGCCAACCTGCTGTTTGAGATGCTGTGTGTGCTGCCTGGCGTCAAGTACCCGACCAAATGAGCAAAGTGTAGCTGTGTGGTAGCCTACTAACTGGACTGGTTGCTACATGCTGATTGGCTAATGGGAATTGAAGCAACTAATCCGCCATCTTGGATCCCCAAAACGTTACTCCGGGACTTTAATGTACATCGTTCTGCAGTTCAGGTTTTTACCACTTAAAACAATTCCCAAAATAATATTTTATTTAATGCTTATCAGTCCTGTAAGACTATAAAAAAGTAAAAAAAACCCATAATTTCTTGTCTGCATTAAAGTTTCAATGTGGTTTTTAATAATGCCAACTGATACATCAAATGAATATTTTAGTAATTAAGTCGATTATTATAATTAAGTCGAACTCACCTTTAAAAAAGTTGAAGCTGTTGTAAATTCTGAAACATATACAAGCTCCTGCCAGAGCTTAAACAAAAGTAAAAGAAAAAAACTTAATTTCTTGTCTTTTTGATAGTACCAATGTGTTTTTTAATAATTCCAACTGGTACATCAAATGATTATTTAAGTAATAAAAATTTAAGTCGAACTCACCATTAAAAAAAATTGAAGCTCTTGTAAATTCTGTGCAATACTGATTTAATAGATAAGATATTACGTATACAAAACCACCACAAGAATATTTGTAATATGTAAAATGACAATATTTATCAGAAATGAATTTTGTTATACAGTCTATGCAATACTGTCATTACTGTTTTAATTATACATGTAGTTTACAAATGACGTATACATGTAGCTATTAAATAGCTTCATGATTGTATCGATTAGATAAAGAGTTTGTATCTGAAATAATATTTGAGTATTCGCAATACTATTTTTAATGGCGAAATAAAATAGAAATGTTTGGAATAAGTTTCTACTGTGTTTTGTTTTAAAATTGTCGAGTGTGGCCAACAACAAAGCAGTGATGGATGACTGCATGTGATACACGCACTCATCATACATTAATTTGCCGCTTTTTAATAAATGTCTGCCCAAGTGCCATATTTTCAATGAGGAGCACTGATAAAATCCTACAATCAGGCAATTTATTAATTAAAAGTGTACAAATGCACCCTTCTCATTTCGGGGGAAACCGCTCCCATGTACGTCAAATTCTTGCATTTTGCTAGCGCATATTTTTATGGAATCTTTTTGGGGGGGCTAGACAATTTTTTTTTTGGGCCCCCCCCCCAGCCCCCCGTAGAACCGCCACTGCCTTGCCCCTCAGATGTGATTAGGTCAAATCCCTGTCTAGACCAGCTTTGCCCACATCCCGCCCTCTGTCTGCCTCCCTCTGCCGCCGCATACAGGCCTTCATCTCGACGATGTAGTAGAACCCAATCCCGAAGACTAACACGCCGGCCAGTACCGCTAGCTTGATCCAGACGCACAGGAAGTTACTGTAGGCGAAGGAGACGGTGAAGCCCAGGGACTCCCACAGCCGATAGTTGGAGAATGCTGCCTCTGGCTTGTCTGGGAAGAGTACACCGTACAAGGCTGCAAGGGAGAAGAAAACATATAAAACACAAAACAGTTATAATTAAGGGAAGCTACCTGCTTGTAGCTGGAACAGCAGCAACGCCAACAGACACACAGCAGAAGCACAGCAAGGGTCAGTGGCGAGACTTGGTTCATTTTACAGGTGGGCCCTTATTAGAGGAGCCTCTTTATCTGGAGGTGACACTAAAAGGATTTTCAATAATGAAAGCTCATTTTTTGCCTTCCCTAACATTTTAAGCACGATGGGGATTGGTGGAGGGGAGGGGGATGGACACAGGCCTCGAACGAGGGGCGAGGGCGCTTGCCCTAATCCCTCTTATTAGTAACGCCATTGGCAACAGACCACGTGTTTTTTTTCTTGTGAAGGAGATGAAGTTGTTCAGTGCAACTTTATCGGCGAAAACCAGTAAATAAATTGGCATATATAGGCCTACACTAATGACAAATATCCTGGACCAAGACCGTAATAGGTGCCATTTTCTTGGAGCTTCTGATGATATTCAGCACAAAAAAAATCTAGTTTATCAGTCGGAATGCACGTGATGTATAATGCACGTGACTGATTTAAATGTGTTTTTGTTTCCTTCTAAGAGCAGCTCCCTGGAATCGAGCCTAAAATAATTTTCTGCGGTATCGTTTACCGTTGATCTGCGTTTGCCAGATGGCGTCTGCTGCACCCCAGCACGCCGCAATGACGAAGCACACCGCCAGCTGATCCTTCGTTGGTACCCAGAACAGAAGCGTGAAGATCAGGCTCATTTGGACCACGGCGCCAAAAGTGAAGAGTGGTATCCGGCCCACGTGCTTGACTAGGCGACCAGACACGAGCGAGCAGACAGCGTCTGTCACACCGTAACATATCATGACGTACCCCACCCAACCTACACCAACAGTGCACGTTACGTAAGACTGAAATAAGAACATTAAGAAAGAGCAACATATTTCACGATAATTTTTTAATAAACGGTAACAACTGTATATAAAATATGAAGCAACCGCATAACAAGACAGTAACATGTAAATATACATTTCGAACAATAGGGCGAACAACATTGTAGCAGCAGACAACAGCAACATGCAGCTGTTGTCTGCTGCTACTGTTATGGGCAATAGCAGGCTGCATCGTAGAAGCAGCGAGTTACAACACAATGCATCCCCATATACGACCCTCCCCAGCCGAGGCCCTACAGTATTAGACCGACATGAGAACACTGCATGTTGGATAATTTTGTTCGTGTTTCAAAAGATCGCGTTATTTCAACAATTGTTTTTAGGTATACTGTGCAATTATCTTTTTATCTTTATATGCATATACCGAGTATCAACCGTAGATTTTTCGATATAACTTTTGTGGCCCTTTTCCTAGCTTTCGTATAGTGCAAATGGATCTGGTCCAGAGATTTTTGACTTTAGAATTTGGAGGCCTTATTTTTTTTTAAACAAAATTGAAACCGCTGCGGTCGGTGCGGCTAACACGCCGGTGCCGCTAATACGCCGACTTCAAATCTTAATTTGCAGGATGATTTTTGCGTGCTGCGGCTTATACTCCGCGCGGCCTATATTCCGAAAATTACGGTTTATAGGGGTCTGGACATCATTTAGATGACAGTTTTGTATTTTTTTACCCTTGCCACCTCCTGTTCATTTTATCGTATTTTTAATGTCAAAAGATGTAAATAAATACAAATAAAATAGATAAACCTATAAGAACAGAGCAACAGATTTCACAGTAACGGTGAAAAAAACACCAAGCAACATCAGTAGCCGGAATAGCCTAAATAAAATAAAATAACATTTAAACCACTGCCATATAATGTAAACATTGTGGTGGAAATTAGCAATTAACCAATACGTCAGCTGCAACTGCGATTGGCGCGGAACGGTATTTGCATCTCCACCTAGGGCAGCAGCAACATTGGCGAAAGCGGCAAGCAGTATTAACAATTGGCAAACTTCTCACCCGAGTAAAGTCTCCGGTAATGAACGCCTGTTCCAGCCCGCTGTAAATCGTCAGTGGAATCAGCAGCTGCATCCTGTAGTCTTTCATCAGTCGCACAGTGGCCATAAAGAGTTGGCAGGGATTCTCTGTTTGAGTTCGCTGGCTTGTTTTGAGTCTAAACGAAAGTATTTTGACAAGCATTATTATATCATTATTATTATTTAATTATCACAGCATTATTTAACAGTCCCGTGCCCAGTACATCGCAACGTAGTACAGTAACTATACTATCAACCCGATTCTCTACTCGGACTTCAACACAACTCCCGATTCTTCACCCATGTTTACGTTGCATACCTAGTGTGGACATTTCTTTGTTTTCGTGTAGTTAAGAAAACCTGTGAAAAACTCGTGTTACTCACACTGTTTAAACTCTTTCAATCCAACTTTTTGTCTATGATTTCCTTGAGTGTTTCTCATCATTTTGCGACGGATAAACCTAACAAAAATGCCTCTAAAAGTGTTTTCCAGAGAGGGGGAAACCTTGTGTGGACGTGGGCAAGTCCACGCAACATCGCTGCTACCTGGTTTATGGGGACATTTTTGTTCGGAAGTCCACTCAGTTTGGCCAAGGGCGGACCCAGAACACATTTTTTTTTTGGGGGGGGGGAGGGGCAAAAAAAATGTTGATCCCCAAAGAGTGGGTAAAACAATTATGGCGTGGGGTTCGGTGCCCGCTTAAGGGTCCCAACTTTTTTTTAGATTCTAGATGCTCTGTGGTGCGATCTGAGGCAATTTCTTTTGAGGAAAAGATGGTATTGTTGTACGCAGTGCCTGCCTTTATTGCAACGTCACTTGAAAAAAAAAATAACAACAAAAATAATGGGTTTATCATTTTTTTTGGGGGGGGGGGCATGGCCCCGTTGGCCCCCCGGATCCACCCTTGATTCTGGCCGCTGCAGCAAGAAACTTAACCCGCTTAACCTCATTTGTGGAAGTAATGTTAGAGGAGGAAATCACTAACTTGTCAAGAAATACTGAAACGACGAGCACGGCTGCTAGCCCACTTCCCAGGTAGATTCCCAACAGCATGTAGGTAACAGACCTCTGCGGAGACTCGCAATAACCGCTGCTATTGGATGTCACTGCAAAGTTAGAATACGGAAGTTGTAACTTTTTGATGAGGATCCTATCTACCGTCAAATAACTGTAACCAGCGCAATCTTTAAAGTCTTCATCACAATCGTCTACGTTTCCGTCGTCATTGTCACCATTTACAGCAAAAACACTTTTCTTCAGCAAAATCGTCATCATTTATGCTGTCGTCGGTTTTTTGGGTCGTTATCGTCATCATCGTCATCATTATCTTTATCGTAGTGGTTTGTCATCTGCATGTCATCATTGTTTTCGTTTGTCGACACTTTCGATCACAACAGAAAGGATATCAAGCCAGTTGCAACATTTCTATGCTTACCAGGGCAATCATTGGCGCCACAGACAAGCTCTCCCGTAGGTTCTGCTCCATCCTGTCGCAGGACCAAGGACGAGATAAGATTTCCAAGGACCTGGCTGGACTGAAAGAAGAGGAAGAATATCCCAAAGAAGCGATTGACCATGGCGTTGTCAGTGTTGCCAGTTATCTCGGCGTATCTCCGAGCAATGGTTGTCACGTAGGTGCTCTTCGAAGCCCAGAGAGGGGCGGCAGCAAGACCAACAAGTGCCGAAGTCGGGATGAGGGTGCCCCAGTCAGGATAGAAATTGGCGGCGATGTAGATCGAGTAGCAGAAGATACAGACCGACAGTGTCCACTTCATGCCTAGGAGGCGGATGACAACAGACGGGACAAAGATGGCGGAAACGACTAGTGTGGCATAAATGGTGCTCAGAGATGCCAGCCCCAGCCCAGCATCGCAATTGATGCTGCTCTGGAGGTTGGACAGCGCCTGGAAAGCAGTGAAGAGGAAGAGGAAGGCGAGGCAGATGATCAGAAGGTTCTTGTAGATGCGCCTGCTGCCCCAATCGGCGGAATCTCTGCTGATCCCACCGCTGCCACCATTTGGCTGTTGGTCGATATTCATTTTTTGAACAGCAGTGTCACCATCCTCCTCCATCCCAACAGATGCTATTGTATCTAGCTCCATCTTCTGATCCTCACCCATCTTGGTAGAGCACGGCCGGTACGGTTATCCGGTGATCGCAGACTCCAACCCGCTTTAGTCAGTGTCTTTGTTCAATTTTGTAATAAATAAAATATGTCAGTGAAAACAAATATATAAGAAAATAACCATTCGTGAATATCGAAAGCATGTTCATTCAAGCATGTTCCATTCTGTTATAATGAACGAGGCGAGGAGAACACATACACAAAAGACCCGCTGTACAGCAATGAGCAAAAGGCCCACTCCTAGTTTCGAAGATGAAAAAAGTAGCCTGTCGAGGAATTTTTTATTCTCCCAGTGTCTGAAATAGACCTATATCATGCTTCTACCATTTTAGTCATGTTCTCTGTATCCAAAAACAGTACCGAATGATAACGTTTTTGTGCAAAAAAGGAACCAGACTATTTTTCCCTCCAGACTCGCTTTGGTTACATTGATTTGAATTGGAAAAAAATCAAATGGCTGCAACATGATAATGGTCTATTGGGGGAACAGTGGTTCATGATCGATCTCCCTTACCTTTTTCGTAACCCTGAATACACACATGCAACTTAAAATAGTTCAAGCTACACCACGGGTTGACCCCATATTAATATCAAATCCACATACCATACTTGCATGCCATACTCACATTTTAGGTGCCGGTGCTGTGACTCCTGTAACCAAAAGTTGTATACCAGGAACATGAGGAAAACGTTTTACAGCAGGCTTCACTAGTTTCCAAGAAAGACTTTAACTGCAGTCAAATTGACTTACTTTGTTGTCGTTTTACTGCACTACAGTGTGATATGCTGGACTGTGGAATAGAGGGGCGCATAATGTCGAATTTACCTATCTTATCTCGGATGAGTGTTGTTTAACAATTGAGTACCTTCAGTACAAATATACAAGGGTCGAAGGTCCAGTGTTACATGGCCATAAAAACCCGGTAAATATAACTCCTAAAACATACGGCAGAGAACATAGGACCATCCGAATGAAAACAAGTGCAGACAATTTACTTTAGGTTGGGTGAGGGTGTAGTGAGTGGGGTGTCGTGGATTTCAGTAACAATAGTCTAGAGTATCTCAATAGTCTAGAGTATAGATAGATAGGACATAGGGAGCAGGGTGGGGCTAGGGCCCGACACCTTCTGAAAAGCATTAGGGGTGTGTGTGTGTGATCTTTGTATTTCGTACTGAACGAACTCCATAGATGGCGCCTTGTAAACACTTAAAGTGATTCGGTTCACCTCCCCCCCAAAAAACCCTCCAAAATGAAAGCGATTAGGCTAACCCCCCCCCAAAAAAATCCTCAAAAATGTACAACATACAAATAAATGAACATAGCAGGATCTTGTAGTGCTTGAGCCGACTTTTGTTCTTTTTTATTCATTCTGATTAGGCTTAATTAAAAAAAGTGTATTCCTGGATTAAATCCTTGTTATCAGAAAACAAAATATTGAAAAAAAAAGAATCTCTTTCGAACTAATTTAATTTACAAACCGTGGTTTGTGCGTTGGACTTTAGTTATCAAATTTCAGGTTCCGGTCCGTTAGTCTGGTGGCAGCCACATAGTAACCAAAATAAGTCAGAGGCATAACTGCTACGCAAGTGGTCCAAACTACACCCAAGATAGCCAAGGTATTGGAAAAAGGGTATTTAACAAATTATGTAGATATCGAAAAAAACTTGCTACGGATGTTTTTCAGTATTCGCACATAACCGATGAGATAATCGTGATGGCCAAAACAAGGACATTGTAAATTGCCAAAATACAGTGCGTACGTCTCGCCAGCCGACGTTCACTTTTATGTGAACGTCTTGGTACCAAACACTGACTAGTCTTATCACAGTCACCGTTGTCCGCGTGATCGACTGAAGGCAGTTGATGTCAACAATCTTAATTTGATATATATTGCCTAGTCATCAATTCTCAATAAATTGTAAATTGCTTTCTTTTCTTTCCAAATACCCTTTAACGAGGTTGAAGACAAAGTAACCCTTGTGGACGCGAGGTTGGACGTTATGGTACATCTTGTATTGTCGTAAAATCTTGCAGATTTTGAGGTCAATTTACACGCGCTATAAACTTGACTGCTAATGGCTGTCAGAAAAAAATGCACTCGTCTAATTGTAATTAGTCAACATCCTGGAATCGACACATTTGTCGTTTGCATAATGATTTGGTGATCCATAAGTGCTATGTTAATGTCATATTATAGGATGTAAAAGACCGTATCGGAATTGATGGAATATTTAACAACACAAAAATAGTATTTTTGTCAATTACTTAAAGTAGATTATAAACATAATGAATGTTTTATTTTCTGGGATATGGGACGCAACGGACTACGATTTCTAACCTTTCTCTATTCGTTTCAAAATTGGAAATTCTGAATTCAGATGATGAATACAATTAAAATGCAGACACCCTAGGGGTATACTTCTAAACGTTACGAGAAGACGGAATGTCAGCACAGAGATTATTAAAGATAATCACTTTAAAACTACATGTTATAATACAATTATATCAAGATCAGAGAATATTATTACTGAAGCCGACGAATACGCAGGTCGATAACGAACCTCTGATGCGACAATCCGCTGGGTATACCACTCTGTGCTTTTAGTTGTGGCCGATCATCAGAAGTGAAAATAGGTCCGACGACACTGTGCTGGCGCGTCCACTGAAAATCCAAAAGGTTGAGACTTGCGTTAAAATATTACCAACAGTACGACTTAAGTGCTTGTACTGGCCCTTGGTATGGCACTTAATAGAAAAAACCTCCTACATTTTCCGCAAGGGAAATTAACAAGGAAGCCTACGAGAGAGTGGAATCTAATTTTTATTTGATGTGTAGCATAGGTTGGTAGTCATAAGCGAAGAATGTTAGCCTATTTTGTGAGACGATGCTGTTTTGAAATGGACACCGGGAAAAGTAGTGGAAAAGTAGAAGATTGTGATTTTTTTCCTCGCAAGCTGTAGGACAACACTTTGGTGAAGGGAAAAACGCAGTCTTGATAAGAGTCGCTTACTTTACAAAGTTACTAGTTCGTTACATTTGACTCATTTGATTTGTAAATTACGTTATTCTGTATTGCTCGAATTATGAATTAACCCCAAACACTCCACCTACCACCTACTCCAAACCTTATTCCGTCAAAGAATAGTTAAAAACGTCGTAATAATTACTAATACAGAACTGTGTCCAGTTTGATCGGCTTTTATTATTTGTGTTCAGTGGCGTAGCCAGGAATTTTTCAGTGGGGGGGCGCTGGGGGGGGGGGGGCTGGAACATTTCATGGGGGGGCGTCATGTAGGGGCGTCAATCGCTTCTCAAAAGTGGGGGGGGGGGGACATACCTTGATCATAACTGATGCGAGCGCGAAGCGCGAAGCCCTTACGGCGTGGGGGTTTGTGGCCCGCTTAAGGGCCCCGAAAAAAATTGGATTCTAGATGTTCTGTGGTGTGATCTGAAGCAATTTCTTACCACTTTCCTCCATGCTTTAACTAATATTTTCTTAGCAAAAGATAATTATTTGAACATCGTTTTCGAGGTTGGAGTCATTGAATCAGCTATCGGTATTCTGAGCTATAGGCGTGGGGTTCGGGGCCCGCTTAAGGGCCCCGAAAAAAATGGATTCTCGATGCTCTGTGGTGTGATCTGAGGCAATTTCTTACCACTTTAACCAATAATTATCTTAGCACAAAAGATAATAATTTAATATAATTTTCGATGTTTTCTAAGCTAAAGGCATAAGAAAATTTTTTGAACATTGTTTTCGAGGTTGGATGGAGTCATTGAATCAGCTACCAGAATTCTGCGCTATAGGCGTTTTTTTCGGGGCCCGCTTAAGGGCCCCGAAAATTTTTGGATTCTAAATGCTCTGTGGTGCTATCTGACGCAATTTCTGACCACTTTAACCAATATTTTCTAAGCAAAAGATACATTATAGTACATTATAGGGCCCTGTAAATGAGACACGAGTTCGAAACTCGGGGGGGGGGGGGGGGGAGACATTTGATATTGTGTCCCCCACCCTTCAAAAAGTGTGGGGGGGGGGACGCCCATGGCGTCATGTAGATCAATGATAATTTTTTTTGAAACTCAAAATCTCAGTGGGGGGGGGGGGGGGCGACAGGGGGTGACAAGGTTTCATGGGTCGCCCCCCCCCCCCCATGGCTACGCCACTGATTATTATTATTTAGCTTATATGAATGGAGGAAAAAGTTTGTGCGTGGCCGATTCGCGTGATATCGCTGACTGAAACTGTGTGACCCAAGGTCCACCTGTCTGTAATACGTGTTCCGTGGTGTGAGCGAGCTGTGCAGTGGGTGTTAATACGCATTTCAGATTATCATTATGCGCTATGTCACGCCGGTTGTCAGCTTACTGGTCCGCGGTCGCCGGTCGAAGGGTCGTTTCTCAGTGGTCATCATGTGGATCATTCGCGACTATTTAGATTTAGATCAATGATAATTTTTTGAGAAACTCAAAATCTCAGTGGGGGGGGGGGGGGGGGGGCGACAAGGTTTCATGGGGAGGGGGGGGGGGGGGCGGTCGCCCCCCCACGCCCCCCGGTGGCTACGCCACTGTTTGTGTTGCTTCAAATGATTGTGTGGTTTCAAAAATCACTGTTCGTTTTGGCTTGTGTTTTAAGTTTGCGTACAAACAAAACTTTCATCTTTTCATACCTTGGCGCCATACTGGGGAGTTGTACGTTCCAGAGATAGCACTCATCTTGCAGGAGATTCTGCCCGTCCACCATTGACGGGGACAAGTCCTTGTAGTACATGGTCTGCGTGTTGAACTTATGCCATGTCTTAGCATCCGGCGTCTCCACATCGTTCAGGCTCTCCAAGTTGGGATTACTGATGAAGAAAAGGAGGGAGAAAAAGATTTAATCTGTTCCTGTATGAAAAAATAGTGTCAAACTCGAAAGGGGGCTGCCCAATAAACAATTGATAACGCAGTAAAACTTCTAATTATAAAGGACGTTGGCTGTAAAGTCTAAAAGGGCTCCTTCTAGAAAACACTGTATTGCAAATTGCTTCTTTTTCCTTACTTGTTTAAAAAAACTAGTTATAACCACACTCGAAATTAGAAGAAAAAGAAACAATTTATGGTAGAGTAATAATTTAATGTTAAATTTCCTTACCCGGTTTTGGCAAAGTTGGTCCAATATCGCATCATGTCCACCGAAATGTCTACTTCTTCCGCCGACAATGGAACGGGTCGTTGTAAGCCTGTCATGAAGGTGCTGCCGAAGACGTAGACGAGGTCGTCCGCGTGGGGCACGATGTCGTCCCAAGTCGGTAGGGGAACGAAGTGGAAGGAGGACACATGGGTCATCTGGTACAGGTAGGTGTTTGGGTTGACCGCAGCAAAGGCTTTCACCACGGTATCGGTAGGACAGGTGAATCCCTCGTCCGTGGTGAGGCGGGAAAACGGCCGGAGGTAGTTAGCTTGGGTGGAGTCCGTGTAGTACGCGCTGATCACGTCCAACATCGCCTGGTCGTGCTCCATGAAGACATAACTGCTGAGAGAACCATCAAACTGGTCCTTGCTGATGACAGGGTCTGAGCCAAAGGAGGCAGGCAAGAAGGCCTTGAGGGCAATCAGGGCGCCTTCGTCTCGCTGGGTGCCAAGCAGGACGTCACTGCTCTTGAACTCACCGAGTCGGAAGAGCTCGGCCGGGTCTTTGGTCAGAAACTCCCCGTCGATGGTCGGCACGAATGGGATCAGGTTGTTTTTCGTTAGCAAAGCCGCCAGAAAAATCTGAAGGAAAGAATGAACACAGAAAAAACTGATTATAGAAAACAAACAAACAGGGTTGAAACCGAAGATGACACTGCAAACTCAGTGTGGAAATAAAGGAGTCATATGGGAACGTTAATAGGGTACATTGCTTCCTTTGGAAATATTTTTGACCCAGACAATTGAAGTGTCTACAAACTCCTCTGACGCCATAGTTGTTAGGTTGTATGTAGGGGGTCTGTTCGTTCATTGGACTCAAATGTACGGGATGTAGATGCAATTGATTGTTAGATGATAACTTCTCACAACTTGTGATCCACCAGCAATCACTACGAGGAAACTGTACACTCTAATTGTAGGCCTATAACTTGCATTTGATATCCAATGTATGCCTCCAGAACAAAAACAACAAAAGGTGTCAGTTTTGGACCATGCACGTGTTAACTGTCATGGAAACACGGTAGGGGATAAACGTATAAACCTAAAAGTTTCCTTCTAAGACGGCTTGTTATCATTTAAACAAGATTTTCGCTCAGGGTCCAGTGCTATCATTCGCCATAGTTAACGTACCGGGGTCGCAGCACTCATGATCTCGTCCTTTGTTTTCGTCTTGAGACAGCTGACAAGACTAGAACTGCTTCCAAAGGCCCAGCATCCGGCATTCCTACCGAGTCCGAAGGCGTCATCTCGGGCCTTGGTTGGGTCGAGGACTCCCCAAGGAGCTGTTGCAGTTCCACTCTGAGATGAAGAAGTTGAATGTAAAGGGAAAAAAAAAACATTTTACCCCAAAACAAACGTTTTAAATACTTGCTAAGTTAGATGAACTGTCAAAAATGTAGTTGTTTGTCAAATGAATTATTTAACATCCTTCCGTATTTTAAGAAGCTTTCTGTTTGAAGTAGAGTAGCACGTTGTGACAGCAACGGATACTCTTCCTTGTGTTTCACTGAAGTTTCAACTTTAACACATATCGAAATTGACAAATTTGACACTTTTTTGGTGATCCCTCGACATACAGGGTGAGTAAAAAAACCGAAACCCAAATAGCAGGACCAATGTTTGGATGAAGTTTTGCCTGTTGAACTTTCAAAATCTAGGTTATGAAAGCCCGGCCATTAAGCTTTCTTTTAGTACAAGAATCATTCAAATCACTCATGTACTTTTTCAAGATTAAACACACACAGCGTTTTAAAGTTCTGTCCACGGATCACAAAAAAGTAAATGTTCTTTCAGCAAAAACGAAAACAGTTCTCATAGGGATGCATGTGAATTGTTTTCGTTTTGCTGAAAGAACACTTACCTTTTTTGTGATCCGTGGAAAGAACTTTAAAACAGTGTTTGTGTTCAAAATTCTGTAACTTGAAAAGTACATGAGTGATTTGAATGATTCTTGCACTAAAACAAAGCTCATTGATGGGCGGTCATATCCTCGATTTTGAAAGTGCTACAGGCAAAACTTCATTCAAAAATTGGTCCGGCAATTTGGTTTTTTTTTTTTTTTTTTTACTCACCCTGTATTAACTTAGGGATCGCAGATTTATATTTGAGAAGAAAATGCTGTGCCACGGACGTCGTTGGTTGAAAGGGAGACTGCAGTGGCATATGCAGCCTCCCTTATGTTCCTTTTATGAAGCATATTAATGCAGTACTTGAGTTGTTGGAGGTACTTAACATGTCTGCCGCCACCAAGTGTCCGAGCAAGTCTCAGTCCTCAAAGTCTTGAATCACACCATAAGCACGTACCTGCATGATAGCCCTGTCGTAGTAACCCCAAGATTGCTTGGCGAGCGTCATGAGACTGACCGACACGCCACCAGCACTCTCTCCGAAGATTGTGATCCTGCTGTTGTCTCCTCCAAAGTCTGGAATAATGATGATGATGATACAAAGAGATCATACTGGCCTCATAAGATGTAAGATTAAAATTATGATCACAATATTCTGTAGCAGAATTCCGAGGCGCAAAAGTTAGGGGTTTAAAAATCTCAAGAAGCCAAAGCCGGAGACGAAACCGAGATTTGGAATGGAAACACCAAATATAAAACCCAATCAAGGTCAAGTCAAACTGAGATAGCTGAGTTTTACAAACAGATTATCACCAGTGACATATGGTTGTGTGTAAGAGCCAACTCCACCAGCTCTTCAACCGTCTCAAGGTGTTTTGATATGGTTACATTACGTCCACTGCAATGAGTCCTATTTGGAACGGATCACGAAATCATTTTTTCTCTGCCATAGGGGTTCTAAGATAGGCTAATCATGCACAATCTTGGAGACCGGATCGCCATGCCTAGCTACCTCCCCCATCGTGAATGCCCCACTACTCACCGTCTCAAAGTCACACACTCACCAGCGATATGTTGCTTGACCCATTTGAGTGCTTCAAGCTGATCCCACATTCCGTTGTTACCAGGAAGCTCGCCGTCCCCTGCAAACAAGTAATTACAAAATACTGACATCGTTGAATGATTCGGGAAAGTGAAGTTAAACCAAATCTTGCGAATATTACACAGACGAGGGGAAGATTTGGTGTTGCAACGAGTGGAATTAACGGTTGTTTTGGTAGAAGTTTAATAGCCTTAAAAACAAAAGCGAAACGTAGTACAGCATCGACATACTTTTGCGGAGTCTTGGATATTTTAAATCTTGGGTTTTTTGTTTTTTGCTGTTTTGGCATTTGTTTCTTGCCTTATTTAGGCTCAGTTCAAATTGTGCAAATGTTTTTCCCCCGTACCTAAACAAGCTTAGGCTGTTTGGGGTTTGGCTGATTAACATTTCTGTCGTGATGAAGCCGCCCAAAATTAACCTATAGCAGTAGAAATTGCGTCAACGCAGACAAACAAAACTTAACGTACAAAATTCCATAGGGTTGGCTAAGAGGCGTGGCTAACTCGCAAACGGCGAGTTATTGTAGTTTGCCCTAAACAATGTGTGTATGTTAGAAAATGAGTTGGTTGTGAAAGGCTGAGACCCACCTGTGCTGAGGAATCCGAAGACTCCGAGTCGGTAGTTAAAAGTCACCACGATGACGTCACGATAGGCGGCCAGGGAAATCCCGTTGTAAGTCTCGTCCGAACCGGTGCCCACCAGGAACGCCCCACCGTGGATGAACAGCATGACAGCAGCGTTGGTCGGCTAACAAACATGTGGGATACAAATACACCTTAGGCTTATACCCATGCACAGGACAGCGGCGGATCAACGGGCTCATTTGTGGACAGCGATTGTCATCCCATCAGCCCCAGCCCAAAGTCCAACCCTCAACAAAAAGTGAAAGGCTCGCACATGGATACAAGCCAGTTTTTAATTGGATTGCATGTACAGAATTCATAATCCAAACGCTGCTAAATGTACTTATGACAGCGCCCGAAGCGTCAATACCCCTTTACTTTCTGAATTTGCCATGTAAACATTTCAAGAATTCAACTCGTTGAAACCCACAATGATCATTGCAGGATGGAACTTATGATGCGGCACTATTCGTAAAAGTCAAAATTTGACAGACTTTTTGAGAATAATTAATTAATTTGCTGTTAATTGACGTCTAAGTTACCACCAACAATCTGAGAAAGTTAGAATATCGCTTATCATATTGGAGATTACTTGTAGCCACTAAACGCAGATGCGAGCTAACACGTTATTTTCGAAAATTCTTGCACATATTATCTTAACCGTCTCAAATCTTTGTCATTACATATACTATTAAATGTGCACTTTACTTACCCAGTGGTTTAATCTACTTACCTTAGGGTTAGGCACCCAGATGTTCATGTTAAGGCAGTCTTCGCCTGTGTTGGTGCTCACCAGCGGCTGAGGGCATTGGGTCCCGAACGTCGTCGCGTCCAGGTCACCGGACCATGGCTTCTTCGGCTGGGGCTTGGCAAAGCGCTCTGGTGGCTCAGCGAAGGGGATTCCCCGGTAGACATCCACGTAGGTGTCTAGGATCGGGTAGGTGTTACGCTGGAAGTGTACGGTCTCTCCGACCACAGCACCGAGACCAGAGATATCGACCCGCGGACTGGCGCACAGAACGCCGAGGGGGCCCACGGCGGTCACCGCCAGAAGCGCCAGTAGAGCCAGCATCGTGAACCAACCACGTTGAGGAGAGAATATTACTTGGGTAAGTTGTGACGGAAGTCGTCGAAGAACTGCTCAAACTGAAAACTCCAAGGCTTTTTATAACATTCTTTCCAACCTCTAGACCATCTGGCTTGCTGATAGGAACTAAGTACTTATAATTAATATGACAGTTCATCAACCTTAATTGCGAGTGATTAGTTTGATGGATGAAAACTGACGACAGAAATAGTTTTTGGAGACAGTAATCAATCTCTGTCAGGCATCTTACGATCGAAATGATAATAGTGTCAATTGTGCACAGTGGTCTCACAATAACACTTAATATGCCGCTTGAAGCGAAGTTAGGGCCCACTAAAATGGGTAGATTTTTTAATCAATCTGATTATTTTTTTTGAGTATGTGTTGGCTCTTTTCCCAATCACTAAGGAGAATAATAAGTTCTATATCCAGATAGGGTGGGGCAACTTCATTACCCCCAATGGGATAGAATTTACTCTCGTTGACAAAATGGTTGTTCTGTCGACAAAATCGTCTTGGTTATTGTTGTCATCGGGGGTAGGAAAACTACCTGGACGGGCTGTAAGGTAAGGGGTTGACGCTTTCGTTTCCTTAAAACGAAGATGCCCACCGTCCTCCTGGATGCCTACCAGTTACATTTTAGAATATTTACCATTCAAATAAAATTTGCTCGCGTCCCCCAAAACAGATATGTAGGGACGCCAAGAGCTGTGGATGCGTCTTAATTCAAGACCTTCGTGCGAATACTTTGCAAGTCTCCCAGCTGTCTTAGTCACTGTGAATGATTGTTTTGTTTACCTGCAAAAAACTCGAAGAAGTTTATCAGCTAATTCTTCAACGTCCACCGCCAGGAAAGGCTGACTCCTTCCCAGGTTTATCGGTCATTCATCACACAGCCCTGTCTACCTTGAGTTTGATAGTGGGCGCTGTTCAGACAGCATATGGACGTAGATTGACGACCTTCTTATTTAGTAGCATAATACATGCAATTATCTACTAGGGATAACTCCTAACGAGATCTCGGTCAGATTGAAAGCCTGATATCGCTAAGCTGATTTCCTGTATGCAGTTAGAAATCATAAAAAAGCTGCTCTTATAAAAGAAGTAGAATTAGAATCTACCTCCATGGTTTGGCAGGGCTTGCGATTCAGTCCAACGACGCTTTGATGAGGAGAGTAGTCTAGGGGCTAGACGTTGTTAAGGTTCGACGCGCGATGCGCTGCCGGGATAACCCCGCCGCGAGAGGGCGTTATTACGATCATCCAATATCACACACGTGCCCGTCGGGAACAACGTCAGGTAGCAGACCGGTAAATAAACTTCCATAGACCCCAATGGTAAATGCTCATACTTCAAAAATTCAGGAAAAATACTCACAACTCTCCAAGGTGTTCGAGACACACATCAAATTAAAGCTTATTTCATCATCTTTCATTTTCTTTTCAATTTTTGGGGGGTTAACTGATGACTTTTAGGAGAAATTTCCATCCGAAGATGATCACCCCTGAAAGTAGTCCTGAAGCCCATCGCCATGTTGAAAAACGATGCCTACACTCCACTGCAAAATAGAGCGCTTTAAGGGCCCCAATTTCATCCAAATTGAACGGAACTACAAGTATTGCCTGGCCGGCGCAGGCAATTTCGGACCGATTTACTGGCCTGGAACCGTCAAGGGAAATTCATAAAATCTCTCTCCCCCCAATAAAAATGGAGGAAACTAGTGCGGATACGCTACTGCTGCAGGCAATTACGGTCTATTTTGAGTCCACGCACACTACACACCAGTTACACAAAAGTTTTGCTGCATCTTTTATAGGCCCCCTACTACTGGAAGAAATTTAAGAGTTTGGTTCGGAACTACAATGAAATGTTTTGAATGACCGTTGCATATATTAGGCCATACATGTGCGCACGCATTACACAACCGATACGAATTTTCCTAGAAGTTGTTCCTGACGGATTCGTTTCGTGGGTGATGGTGGTTGGCCGTGATAACGCCCTGTCGACGGGGTTATCGCGGCGGCGGGTATCGCGTATCAAACCATAACAACGTCTAGCCCACTGATCCCTATTATACAGACTGGATAGCGCTTCGGGCCGTGGGGGTGAAGTCACTGGACGCCATTTTGACACTCCCTTTGGCCACGTGATGTGTTTAATGATCCAAAATTGCTTCCTAAACCATTGTAATTCAGTGCTTTTAATGTACGGATCCGTGCCTATGGGGCTTTTGAGGGAGTTTCAAAATGGCCGCCGCATGTGTGCGAGGGCGTCACGGTCTTGTGTACACGCATAGGTGAAGTGCTATCCAGTCAGTATAATAGAGATCAGTGGTCTAGCCCTTTGACTCATTCACGAGGAAGCCATTTTGGTCGGGTTCCATGATGTATTTTATTAATTGTGAACTGTTGAATGGAATGGTGCCACCACTATTTATACTTTCTAGCATCAGTTTCATGTTTTGTGGCTTAAAACATTAAGGTATGTGTACTCACAAATTTAAAATTATTATTTAGAGCAGACTGGTATAATGTGTAATTAACTCGATGTCATAGCTTTCATTTCTCTTCGCAAGTTTCAAAAATGAAGATTTTACCTCACTTTAAATAAATGTGGCCGACTCGTGAATAAGGCCAATGGGGATAGCGGAGAAACAACAATTTGAAAACCAAAAATGATAATCCCTATATCATCCAGAAGGAATATTTATTTTCGTAAAGCTTAGCTACAATCCCCAACACAAAGCCAGAGATAATATGCAGAACCATGAATACTCAGTAGTATACTCAACGATGAATATTCAGTACTCAGTGCACCATACACTGTGGTGTGCACTAGACACGATGCAGAAAGGGCGGGCACTGGCGTACAGGCCACTTGGTCTGGCACTTGTAAAACAAAACGCGCAGTGCATGTCAAGTGAATAATCAAATAATTAATGGTATCTACTACATGTACAGATGACATCCAGTTCAAGTTTGTTTGTTTTCGTGTGTGAACTCCACGTTTAAGCAGGTGTAAATAGTCATTTCAGCGGAAAGTGTGAAACCACTTGTTAATTGGCAGGATCGAATGTTCCAGATGCCCATCGGGTTTATATAAGAATTGCAGATAATAACATTGTCTGAAGCAATACGGTGCAAACAAGGTTCAGACTAGTTGTTGCTTCAGTTATCATATATCGGCTGCCCTTTAGGGCTGATACCCTGACACTAATCTTTTTGTTTTTAATACTTGAACACATCTGAAAAAAAAAGAATATTTCTCATCTTTTTGTCATGTTGTCTGCTCACTTCATGGGTCCGTTGCTGACGGCTAATTCAAATGTAGTGTCATGACTGCGAGGAAACAGCAAAAGAAGCATCTACCAGTAGAGCACCTTTATTGCTAAACAATCTTTGTTTGGTATAACATTTTACAGGCCATTTATACCACATCCAAATACAACTTATTTCAATCCTATAAAAGAAAGCTAATATTCAAATGAAGCACAGCACGTTAAAAGCGTTATAATTTATCGCAATTCAAGCCATAAAACTCCATTCTGGCCTTGTGGTATCCGATTCCAATTGTGTTTCAACTTCCATTGAGTAAATTATTGTAAAAAAAAATTACGGCCATTTAGTTTTGTCAAAAATCTGGGACAAGTCACGCACAGTTCTTTGATATTTAGAGGTGTAAGAATCTTTTGAAATATGCGTGCCATTTCAAATAGAAAAAAAAAGTGTTGCTCTATATGAGATGCTAGCATTCAATTGTTGTGTTCCATTGGAGCAGCTCATGGCAGGCACGCATTCGTTTTAAGAGAGTTTATATGACAGGGTGATAAAGTGCAAATGTTTGTGAGATATTTTGAGCAAGCCCATCACTATCAAATGTAGATAGGGATAGCAGAGTAGTATTCTAGCGTAGCTCGACGTTCGATCATTCTAAGGTGAGTATTGCTTATATCAACAGCAGCTGCTAGCTAAGATCCGATATTCATTTTGACCTATAGGCGGGTGAGTTTCTCTTCATCAAAGAAGCACAGACTGCACAACAATAAACGGGACTAGTGATGGTACTTGTGGCAAATTGGAGATTACAATTACATTTTGCGGTTCCTCGTGATATTGAGAAAGAAGGTAATGTTTTGGCGTAAAAGCCATACATTTAATCTCAAACCTTCCGCCACAAAAGACATACTCCTGACAACAATAATTATTGTGACCTGCACCTGAGGCTAAAATGAGGAATGTCTCCCAGAACACTGTTTTGAGATATAGGCGTCTGAAGTTGCCGATGTGTTGAAAATCATTTCAAAACCGATTTTGGAATTTTGGAATTTTTAAGTAGGAAGGTTATCTACGATTCCGAAACTGTGCATTTATGTGGTTAAAAAATTACCTCCAAAAGTGAAATAAAACGACGATATCTTAAGTGTGTTTTCCAAAATTGTCAGTAAATTTCTTCTTAACAACAAAAAAATGACCCAAGTTTACCGTGAAATTTCAAGAGAATTGATTGTGTATAGCTTTGTGTGTTACCATTCGAAAGCGTATTGCCTGCTCTGTGTATTTCTAGCAGTGATAATGTCCAATTACATGATCTACAAATGGACGCAGAACGCGCAAAATCTGAGACAAACAAAATTGCAAAAACTCCATAGGGTTGTCTAAAAGGGGCGTGGCTAACTCGCAAACGGCGATAGGTCAATAGTAGTGGAATACACTCATTCTTTTCTGTCATTCTATGTAGATTAACCCAGTTAGCGAGAATGCCACTTGTTGTGTAAGTGGCCAGTTTGTTGCTGGCGACCTGTCTTGTTGGTAGGTATTATGACCAGCCATACTGTCGGACTTTCAACCATAGCTTCCACACCGTCGGACTTTCAATCATATAGCTTCAAGCTAACAATCATGTATAATTCAAAACTTACATCGATCAAAATCAGCCGTCGATGACGATTATTGTTAGTGTTTGTGATTAGCATAAGCAGAATAAGCAAATTATCGCATATTTGCCTGATAACTTAGAAATACTACATTTCATCCCGATGTAATTATTGTGTGATAATATATATTATTTCTAT